TATATATATATATATATATATATATATATATATATATATATATATATGATATATATTATACCTGAAAAAGGCCTAAGGATCGGGGGATCTATTGTGCATAACAAAGCTACAGTTTTCTACCCGATCAAGCGCCCGATGGATAATTAATTTTTGATAAATAGTCTGCGAGTGACTAATGCATCTTTTTGCATCCTCACGTTTATGAATTATCTCAGCCAGCCTCCCAATCCCCGCCCGTATTTTTAAATTAACAAATTATTTAAAAAGGATATAAGAATATATTTTTAAAAAAGCTTACCGATCGGCAATCTCATTTTTATAATTATTATTTTTATTATTTTCCAACTTTTTAACTAAAAAAAGATAAGAAGGGCTGGAAAAAATTGCTGGAAGCGTTCGCGTGGCTACCGGTGACTGGAAGATCCACACGCGTCCTTTTGGTTGGTACACGCAACTTAAAACGACCCCGACTCACGGAATCATCATCATCCAACCCCCCTCCCCCTCTCGTCTCGTCTCAGCCATATTATATTATACACACACGATGTCTTGGTCTACACATTCTCTACTGACCAACACATAACACATTACGACCCGTGTATTTAGCACCTGAGCCTCCAGCATCACTATTCCATAAAAATATATAAAATAAGCCAACATTTACTACAAAAACTAAATTTATTCCTGCCCAGATTTTTCATTCGGGTGAACCACCATTATTTTTTTATCCGAAGGAATGGAGAGCAGTCCAGGTGGTCTGTCTCGTCGCAAATGCTTTTTTTTTTTTTCGACAAAACTGTCATCAAATATTAATTCGTTCAGGTGACGAAACTAATATATTTAATGTAGTAAAAGGGTAAGACAAGTTGGCCTACAAAGTCTGAGTGAATTCGTCAGTTTAAGATTTTTTTTTTAATCATATATATACACTGATAGAAGGATTTATTAACTGTTAATAATTTTATTTATTTCAAGACAATTATTTAATTTATTAAATATTTTTTAACATTCAATAAATATGTATTAATCAAAATTATTGTATAAAATTACTATAGCCAATCATTAAGCCTTAAGTAAATAAATTACCCGCGCGTTTATTGATAAGTAATTATAATTATTTATTGACAAGAATTGAAATTGTCAAAAAAAAAAGCGAGAAATTTTAGGTATTTTTATGCCTAATAAGAATTTTTAGAAATTAGTTCTTAGTTTCGCCGCTAGATGGCATACGGCTCTCGCTAGTAGAAAAACCTTACTAAAGTATATATAAAGGCAGCGCAAAAAAATGTGATTTTTTTTCCTTCGAGTCGATTATAAAAAAATGCACTGATAGAAGGATTTATTAACTATTAATTATTTAATTTATTAAATTTTAATAAATATTTTTATTTAAAGATTTCAGTCAAAGATAAGAAAAAATTGTAAAAGAGCAAAATTTTGGGAAAATTAAATTTTCTACAAAAAATATAAAAAGCTTTCTTGTAACTTTTTTAGATCTCCAATATTTAGCCCAAAATATTTATCTAAAAATTTAAATAACACTTAAGTACAACAAAAAATTATCTAAAAATATTTCACCTTAAAAATGAGAATTATAATTAAAATTATAAACAAAAGTTTAGCCAACGACTCATTTAATTATAATTTAAATAATGATGCTTTAATTAAAATTAACAAAAAATGAAGCCGAAGGTTAATTGCCGGCATTACTTTTATGATTTTTAAATAGCAAAATATTTTTTTTTATCCCGATCTTGTGCAGTCTACAGCCAGAAGACTACACTACACATATGCTTGATGATTTAAACCGGGTATGAGAAGTAAAAGAGTCTCAGTCTCAGTCTCTAGAGTAGGACGTGGGTAAAACGATAAAATAAAAATACCGAGGGGAGGAACTCTAGCGGTGAAAAAAAATAACAAACTTTTAGACGTTTAATTATCGTGATCCCAAAGAACCAAAAAAATTCTCATAAAAGTAATTCTTATAATAGCAAGTCCAGTAATTAAATTTCTCTACAAAAACGCCAAGGAGGATAGATAGAACTTTAAGCTGGGTAATTTTTAAATATTTTTATTGTTAGGATTTTTTTGCTGTTATGTAGAGTTGGAGTGCAGTGACGTCGAACAAAATGACAGGTTAAGAGAATATTGTCTGGATGCTCGGATAAGATAGAGCGGTATCAACCCCAGACCGAACAGTCATAGACTTTACTACGGTACAGAGTTACTATACGGTCTCAATGTATGTATGTATGTATGTACTTGTTTGGCTCGCGTTACAACATGTGATAGAAGGTGCTTAGAGCGATAACATTACGTACACTAGTGTATACCGTTAACGATAACGCATCGCCCGGGAACCGCGTGCCCCGTGTGTCTCTATCGTTAGCCTAGGTACAACCTCGCGAACAAATACCGAGATATATATCCTCATACTTTTATATGTTTATTTAAGTACATGCTCGAAATTTATTTCAGGTCAGAGGGGAGTTTGTTCTGTTTTACATTTTCGATCATTTTTTTACGGCTATCAAAAAATTGATTTTTTTAATTTTTATAATATGGGATAAAATCATTTTTAATGATATAGTAAAATTTATCTTACTAGAAAATTGAACGCGCTTCTGTCAAAATGTTTATTATCGACAATTCAATTAATCAATATTTTTACAAATTTTACTTATTAATATTTAACCGTTGCCATGGTATGGTAACGATTTTAGTTAGATGAACAGGCTCTCTAAAATAGTAAAAAGAAAATTTTAGTTTTTTACTTATATTTAAAAAATTAACTCTCTAATAGCGAGAAAATTTAACGACCATGCGCCACCTGTCGGAAATTTTTGGAACTAATTTTTATAAAAATTCATTTATGGGCTTGTCAAGCTATTTGATGAAATTTATTTACCAGAAGTATATAAATAAATGAGATTTTCTTATTAATTAAAAAAATTTTCTTTACAAATTAGTAAAATATAAACTTTTAATAATAAATTAGGACTGAATTAGAGAAATTTTTAAATTTCAGTCATTCTCCCGTTTTGCATGGAGTGCCCTATCTCTTATCATTTATCCATAATTAAAATTCAAAATTTGATCGTAAGCTTGTTTAATTTAATTTCTTAATACATGTTGTTAAAATTTTTTAATCAATTATTCTGGGCTAAATTTTGGAGATACAAATAAGTTACAAGAAAGCTTTTTTCGTAGAAAATTAAATTTTCTACAAAAAAGTTTCTTATTAATTTTTCCATATCTCTTATTGAGCTTGCAAAATATAACTATTTTATTTTCTCCGCTTGATTATTGGCATAAAAAATAATTTTTTATTGAATTTAAGTGTACAAAAATGTTTATTTACTTGCATGCATAAGAGAGATAAACCTTGAAGTCACGACACAATACGAGAAGGGAAGAGAAGAGGTAAAGTCGAAGGCCATAAGAGGAATTTTAAGCCGTGAACCGTGTAGCGCGTTCTTTACAATCTTTACCACCGAAATGGGAATGCCAGAGCATCTCACTAACTTGGATATCCAATATAATATAAATAGTCTAGAGGGAGATCCAGTATTGTGTGGATGTATCCTCATAATATGGATGTGGCTAATATAAATAATGCCGGATTGACTCGATATATATTTATATTTACATTCATATTGATATTCATATGTATGGATAGAACCGACATGACAGAATTCCCTTGTATTGGCATCGACGACGGTGCCATTGACTTTTCCTGTCGTTAACTATATCTATTTACTATCAAACCGGCTCTTGCGATGACAGGGAAAATAAAAGACAAGGTGGTGTACACATTCAGACACCCACGTTCTGATCAAAAGGACTTAGATATCGTGCCATTGATGAGCCGAGAACATTATCGCCAGTTTAAAAACATATTAGAAGATTTTATTGTCTTTTTTTTGTATTAAAATAATTGTTAAATTATCGATCTGATTTTTTTCTTGAAATTTTTTTAATAAAATTGAATTTTAATTAAGTTGTTAAAGAGAATTTTTTTAAAAGTTTCCTTTTAATATTTGCAAACACGATAACTAATGAAAATAATTATCGATTGACTTAATTTTTTTTAGATAGCTTTGTTTTGTCATTATTAAAGACCCTTAAAAAAATCAGGACCTAAATCCTTGTAGATTAATTACAATAAATAGTTTGGAATTAAAAATTTTGTAATAAGTGAAGAAAATCTGAATGAAACTTTGTAAACACGATATCTAATAAAAATTTGGATCGATTGAACTAATTTTTTGTAGATAGCTTTGTTTTGTCATCATAAAGGACGCTATTGAAATTCAGGACTTAAATCCTTGCAGTTTAATTATAATAAAAAAAATTATAAGACAAATATTGAATAAAAATCTCATAAATTTTTAGTTTTATTTTTCAAGATATTATTAAAAAATCAATTTGACTTTGATATAAAAAAATATTTTAAAATTAAAAAAATAAAATAAAATAATTTGATAAAAAAATGAATGAGGTATGACTTTAAAATAAATACAAAGTTACATTGAATGTTTATAGAGCAGCTCCATTTGGTACAGCGGTTCTCCATTCAAATGCCTCGGCAAAAATAAAGGAATGATCTTAAGTTAATCGCATTCCGATTCCAGGATTGGTATAATCCAAGGATACAAAATAAAATAAATATAATAATATCCCACATATCGGAGATCCCAGATCCCAGCAAAATTAATTCATTTTTTTATTCATTTAAACTTTTATCCTCTGTTTAATAAATTCGATAAAAACCGTAGCATTTGCATCATCCGATCATTACAATTTTATTATTATTTTATATATATAAATTTAATAGAAGTAGCTTAATAATTTTTTTAGAATTGTTATTGACATTTATTGTCGTCGTAAATATTAAACCCGATAGCCTGAAAAATCATAACGAGTTTAGCAATTTATGGATAAAGATGGAAATTTAATGTAATGAGACCTCTACCGACTGGTATAATTGTTCGATTGGGGATTCAGGATTCCAGGGACCTTGTTTGTTTTAATCCGGACCGGTCATCAGTTGTATACAGCATGTAGGATGTGTAACTAGTTTTAGTGTTTATAGATCAGACACTAAGTGTCGATTTGGAGTGACAGCTGAAGTTTCCGCGCGATCTACTGCAGAAAAGACCGAGAAATAGAAATCGTCATTGAAAGACTTGAGAGAAACAAGACTTAGTGTCGCCGTTAATCAACTTCTTAGACGTCTGGTTTCAATTCATCAAGATTGAATTCGAGCATTAGTATTAGTAGGACACAAGTAACAAGCAACAACTGATTTTTTTCGTATTTTTTACTTTTAATTAATTATTGTAATTCAACTACAAGGATTTAAGTCCTGATTTTCAATAGGGTCCTTTATGATGACGAAACAAAGCTATCTACAAAAAATCAATTCAATCGATCCAAATTTTTATAAGATATCGTGTTTACAAAGTTTCATTCAGATTTTCTTTATTTATTACAAAATTTTTAATTCCAAACTATTTATTGTAATTAATCTACAAGGATTTAGGTCCTGATTTTTTAAAGGGTCCTTTATAATGACAAAACAAAGCTGCCTACAAAAAATCAGATCAATTGGTCAATATTTCTTTAAATTATCGTGCTTACACGATTTTATTCACTATTTTACTCTTAATAATTTCTTATAATTAAATAGCAATAATAACAGTCCTAGTTTTTTTTTTTTAATATGGTTTTTAAATAAAGCAAATTATAAAAAATCCTTTTATTTCCCGGAGTAAGATCGATCAGCTTTTAAAAACGGGAAAAATAATTGTCGGGGTAAGCCGGAGACTCCCCAGGTGGAGGTATCGGCAGCGAATTAAAAAGAAAGATGATGAAAAGTGTTCTCCGTGAAAAAGGAAGGCGACTAAACGAATTAAATGTATGTTGGTTAGTTTGTCTGTCTTGTTTTAACATTGGTATGTTTTGTTATTTGTTAATTTTATTTCTGTTGATAGTTAACGGCCTCCTGTTGCGTTAGATCCTCAGCATGGATCTTTTGATGCACGCGTGTATCTATCGGTTGTTTCTCCTAAGATCGGGGGGCCGAGGGATTCAGACGAGAAGCTTAATAAAATAAGATAATAAAATAAAAGTACGCACATATACACACGATTACCTTCGTACGTCTACTTGTTCATGTCTTGTTCCCTTTTCTTTATCTTTATTTCTTTCTTAGTCATATATGTATGGTAGGTATCTTCAGGCTCCTCTCTCCTCTAGTCGGTTAGATGTTAAGTTGCATTGAGCTGGTTCCAGTACTAAGGTTTCTCTCGTTCGCTTATTCTCATTACATGTGCTCCATGTACACTTTAGATTGCCGACCTTGAAGGGTTGTAACGAGTTCCACCGCGAGTTAAGAGTCCAGCTGAGGAGGATGAAGGGTAAGCTGCTGTTGGATCTTGCCTGTGAGCTGCCCCACGGATTGTAACTCTATAAAAGCTTAATTGTTTCTCATTTTACGGTTCAATCGAGTTCCTTATAAGATTTTTACATTTTTTACTCCTATCGCCTCAAAGTCCACGGGGATTTTCATTTATTGCCTTTTTCTTTTTACTTTTTATTTAATATGGCTAATGATTTTCTTATCCTCCTTTTTTTACTTATACCTGCTTTTAAATACTCACTAATTTATTTTTAGTACTTGATGTATATTCTAAGAAAGTGTGCTATATTTTCTGTGATTTTTAATCCCTGGAAAATTACTTACTTCTGGTTAATTTAATTAATAAAATTTTTAAATGTTTAATTTTATTTCTTATGAGGACCAAAATTTTCTCGAGATATTTTTCTTGAATTTTTTACAGTGAAGAAGACAATTAAATAAACTTAAAAATTTTTTTTCGTCAGTTGATTGCGATAAAAAAACTCCTCGTTGATCTTAAAAAAAAGTGAATCCCTCGAGGGCTAAAAAACCGGACGATTTCAATCGAAACATTCATACAAATTGTTCCTTTTCTAGTATTATATGTAATATAAGATTATTATATTTTAAAAAGGCGTTTCAATAGCATAAAAATAATCATCGGGAATATATAATCGGGGAGGAGAAATAACGGGGTAAGATAGAGAGATCCCGTTCTTGTAAGTTGTACTTGCTAGGAGTAAACACTTATGCATATACATTTATACATATACAAGCTCAACTTTAATTTTACGAGGATCTTGTATATATAACAAGTATTATTTAAGCTCAAGGCTGATAAGATAAAACTATTTTTTATAATTCTATTCCATTGAATTTTTCACCGGATCGGATCGCTCTGAATACCACCAATTTACTTTTATAACAATAATTAGCAGAGTAAATAAATAAATAAACAGTTAGTATGGTTGTTATGCACTGATAGAAGAATTTGTTAATATTTAATAAGTAAATAAATAATTTTGTGAGATTAAATATTTTACCTTAGACCTTTTAAAGAATTTTTCTAATCGACTATTATACTTTCGTTTGGTATTTCTGATTGTGAGAGCCGTAGGCCACCTAGCGGCGAAACCAAGAACTACTAAAAAAATTTATTACACTGAGAAAACAGTTTGTTTGATTTAAATTTGTAGATTTATTTGAAATAACTTAAAAATACGTATTTAATATGAATAAATTTGTTTCATATAAATTTGGATTACTTTCAACCAAATACTATTTTGTTTTGGTTTATTTGATTGAATTCGCCGATTTATTTCATTCAAAGATTTGTTAATAGTTAACAAATCTCCTTTGAAATAAATCATAAGACGTTTGTGTCGCTACTGTCGCTATTTGAGTTATCGTAATTTTAATACCTTTATCGTCCCCTGTTATAATTGAGTAACTTTGTATATATACGTAAATTTTTGATGAATTTAATAATGAAAAAAAAACTTGGATCTAATAATTTTAGTTTATTAGAAGATACCCCAATATAAATTATATAAATAAACTCATCCTCATTGCTTTGATAACCCTAAAAATATGTCAGATATTATTTACTATAGTACAGATCATGATTTCTTTATCGACATTCAAATATCACATTTGTTTATAGTTAACAAATCTGATTTGACTGAAACAAATGATTTTATAGTATTAAAGAAATATTTGTTCTATAAACAAATAACTATTTCATTCAAATAAATCCACTTAAACCATATCTTTGTCTCAAATAAATTCATTCAATCGTGTCACATAAGTGTTAGTTGGTGGTATTTAAATAAGAGATTTCTTTATAATAAAAGAGTCTCATCTGATTGAAATAAATTTTTTTCCTCAGTGATAGACAAATTGTTTAAAAATAAATAAATTTATTAAGAGTTAATAAATAGTTGCATCAGTGTGGTTATTGAATTATTCTCTAAAATAATTTTCCGGAGAATTAAAAATGAATGAGGTATGAAAGCACCAGATAAAAGAGAACAAGTAAGAAGTAAACTTTAAAAAGTAAGAGAGGAATATCGTAATGTAAGAGAGGCGGAACGCTGGAGAACAAACTCGTAAAACCGATTAACGATCCATAATTTTACGGCGTTCTATTATAGCCGTGCTCCACAGCTTGAGGTCTTAGGTTTACACCTAAGTCCTCCGGTGAACTTATAAGCGAGCAGAAGAAGATGAAGATGAAGATGAAGATGGAGATGGAGACGGAGACAAAGATGGAGATGAAGATGCCAATCCGAGGAGAGAGAGGAAAAAGGAAGAAACTAATCTTTTAGCCATGAGGAAGTGCTCCTTACGTAATACTATGTCAAGTCACTTACATACGGATGTGTGGATGTTTGTTGATGTGTTGATGTGTTACGTAAGGATCTAGTGAACCCACTACTTACAAATTATTTACGAGCGCCTTTAAATTCTTTCTTGATGGTAGTGTGTTTACCTTAATGCCCGTCGCAGAATACCACAGTACTGGATTTAATTGCACATCATATTATTTTTGTCAATTAATTTAATGCCTTATTTAACGACCTTGATTTAATTACTTTTTAATTGGAAAATATTATGATTCTTTTTATTGATATTGTTCGGATGAATGTATGCTGCGTTATTGTTTTCGGAGATTTTTTTTAACTGACGATATCTCGAAGAAAGTTGAGGTCAAGATTTGATGTTAGGGGTCATTGGAAAGGAAATTTAATTCTCTATAAAATTCGTCTCTTATAATTTTTTTTATATTTTTAATTGTTTAGTTGGAAATTGAAATTTAAGTCTGGAAACTATAGTTCAAAATTAGTTAATTTTTTGAAACTTGTTATGATTGTGAAAGATTAAATATCAACTATTGGGATTACAAAAAAATGTTTCAAGACTATTTTGTAGAAAATTCAATTTTCTAAAAGTTTTTCTTTATGATTTTTAATCTAATGAATGTTTACTCACAATATTAAATTAAATTTTTCTGTACAGTTGCTTCACAAATTTTATTTGTATAAAAATTCAAAATTTTTTTAATATTTAGAACGGAAAAATTTTTTGTTCCCAACTCAACAATATTTCTTTTGAATTTTTTTCAGCACAATTATTTGATCAGCTTCATTAAAATTCAATAAATCTAAAAAGTACTGTTAGAAATAAAGAAAAAAAGTAATGATTGAAATAACGCAGAATTGAATATCTCTTCTATGCCCGAGGGAAGTGTATTTATATCTATATATATAAAATATTTTTTGCTGACCGGAGCAAGTAATTTTTTAGGGAGTTTCGACCGCGCAATTCCATCGAAAGTTTTTCGTCGTATTTTTTTTACCATTGGTTTATATTTCTTAAAGTTTTTTTTCCCGAGTTTCTTTGTCGTCCCCGCATTCTGAGAAACAGTCGCCCGATGATGGTAAGGTAATTGTAGTGATTACGATTTAAGTTCGGGTTCAATTCTACTCGGATCCGTTGGTTGCTCCTCGGTTTGTTGGTTACCCTGGGTTCCGTTTCAGTTATTCCAACATTTATTCTCAGGTTCTTTATTCGGTTTCTCAAATTCTTTAAATCATCTGCCCGTTCTTTACCAGTAAACCGTTTCGAGTCATTACACCCGCCAATTTATCCTTTTAGTTTCGTAGAACTATTCTCGGGGACTAATTATACTTTGAAAACAATATTCCGCTTTTAATAACTCACTGAAAAACCTTCCGACTTTCAAACTTCACAATTTCGCAATTTAAATTATTCAAATTTCCCGCCTAGATGCGCGCTCAGACCCAGCTAACTTCACGCGCTCGTTAACCATTCAGAGGCTTTCCAAAGATACGATTAACCAATCACAAGTGTTTTGGAGGATTATTAACCAATCCAAACCCGAAAAATTATTTTATACTGATAATTCTAATTATTAAAACTATTTTTCGGAAAAAAAACGAACAAGTTTACCGAAATAAAAATAAAAAAAAATTTTAAAGACTCTAGTTATCTCTATCCGGTTTATTTTATTATTGTTTTTCTCTGTAAGACGTTTTTATTACGGTGTCTTAAGAATACGTCTCGGAATCACTTGGAATGATATCCTGAGGGTTATTTTTATTATAAAAGAAAAAGATTGTAAACCCAAAGTAATTTTAAGATAAATGCTTTCACGTGACTTTATTTTTTTTTTTTGTAATTTATTGTAGTGAAAATTGTCTAATAAAATTACAATAGTCTATATAATTATTATTATTATTTAAAAAGAAAATTTTGTAAATGCCAATTTGTTATGTAATTCTTAAAACGACTATAACTCCTGAAATATTAATTTTAGCAAAAAATTATAAGACAAAAATTGTTGCTCACAAAATTTCCTAACAATAACGTTTTTATACTATGGGTCTATTTGCAATATTTCAGGAAATACAGGGTCTTGAAAAGTGCTCAGTGGTTACTTTAAAAATGACCCTGACTTTTAGAATATTCTTTTAAGACAAAAATATTATTATTATTATTTTGATCGGATGTGTCGAGCAAAAAGTTTAACGACGTTTTTATAAACAAGAATCTCGCGAGTATTACATTATATTACACGTAAAAGTATGCAAAGAAAACGTGAATAATTACAGAGTTTGATAGCATGATACTGTGCCGTTGTCTACCATCTCGAGCTCTAAGTTCTCTTCGCTATTCAAGAGCGGATGAGTGTGTTATGGTTATGCAGGATTTGATTGTATTGCGGTATGGTAAGTGTTTTGTGTGCTATGTATATATATTATATAGTACACCACATCCACAGCGCGTTCCTTTGAACACGCGTAATGCCAACTTGGCACGTGATTTTTAATCGATCGATTGGTATTTTGATGGATATTACTCATGCCATACATCTGTTGGCAGTGCTTTTTCTTTTCTTTTCTTCGACCGAGTTTTTTAATGAATTCAAGTCATGAACAGATTTGAAATTTTTTTTCCTAACAAAATTGTTCTTAATTTTTATTAAATTTAACAGTTCATACAATTTATTAAATTTTGATAAATCCTTCGATTAATACTTATCAACTAATACTTATTTGATACAATCAAATGAATTTATTTGAGATGAAGATATGGTTTCAGTGGATTTATTTGAATGAAATAGTTATTTGTTTATAGAACAAATATTTCTTTAATACTTTAAAATCATTTGTTTCAGTCAAATCAGATTTGTTAACTATAAACAAATGTGATATTTGAATGTCGATAAAGAAATCATGCTCTGTAATATAGTAAATAATATCTGACATATGTTTAGGGTTATCAAAGCAATGAGGATGAGTTTATTTATATAATTTATATTGGGGTATCTTCTAATAAACTAAAATTATTAGATCCAAATTGGATTTTGATAGTTTTTTTTTTCATTATTAAATTCATCAAAAATTTACGTATATATACAAAGTTACTCAATTATAACAGGGGACGATAAAGGTATTAAAATTACGATAACTCAAATAGCGACAGTAGCGACACAAACGTCTTATGATTTATTTCAAAGGAGATTTGTTAACTATTAACAAATCTTTGAATGAAATAAATCGGCGAATTCAATCAAATAAACCAAAACAAAATAGTATTTGGTTGAAAGTAATCCAAATTTATATGAAACAAATTTATTCATATTAAATACGTATTTTTAAGTTATTTCAAATAAATCTACAAATTTAAATCAAACAAACTGTTTTCTCAGTGTAATAAAATTTTTTAGTAGTTCTTGGTTTCGCCGCTAGGTGGCCTACGGCTCTCACAATCAGAATTACCAAATGAAAGTATAATAGTCGATAAAAAAAATTCTTCAAAAGGTCTAGGGTCAACTATTTAAAGCACTTTTGACTTTTCCCACTTATTGAGGAGTTAGTTACAGATAAAATTGAGAATTCGAAAGGTATAAAAAGCTTATTTGGGAAAAATGCAGTGAAATTCTTTAAAGTCATATGTTTTATGACTTTTCCTCGGAGAAATATTATTTTAATTTGTTTTCACACTTTAAGGACCCATTTGGGATATAATTAGCAGGGTTTAGTCATTTTAAACTGTTAAATAGTATTAGGTACAAAGTCATCTAAATTTCTATGAAACAAATTTGTTCATATTAAATACGTATTTTTAAATAATTTCAAATAAATCTACGAATATAAATCAAACAAACTGTTTTCTCAGTAAAACCTTGAGTGAAAAAAAATTGGACACTAATATAAAAAAAGGGAACGGAAACAAATGATAATAATTATACCGAGGACGAAATCCTAAAAATTTAGTAACTGGATTTAGTCTAGCCTAAAAAAATATTTAAGAACATATATATTTTGAGCAATAAGAGCAGAAAGAATAAGAGAGCGAAATGTTGGCAGTCCTCTGTAATTTTGGGCCGTGTCATTTGAGGATCACCTGCCTTCTGGCCCGGTATAATCTCCAGCGAAGCAGCCTTCATCACTTCCACGATTCGACTCCTTTCTACCAATACAATTATCGTTCAATTTTTACCACACATACACACTAGATGGTTGCTCAAAAGCTAGACGTAGAAGTAGGCTTGCCTAGGGAATAATGCGGGGGTTACTTTTAAAAATCGCGTGTCTCCTCGAAAATGCCAACGAATCGACAGTAGTCATTTGGCAAATATTCGGCGCATTACACAGATCGGTAGGAACGATCGGTGTGTCCCGAGGGCTTACGAGTTCGAGTTTCGATTCCGCAACTCCGATTATATTATCATTGCCGGGTAGCCTCCTCCTTCCTCCTCCTTTCTCCCTCATGCCTAGTGTTGTTATGTCTCGCGAACTTCGATGTAATGCTTAGTCCGACTTCCAACTGAGTGTTATACTCCCAGATATATAAATTCGACTCTAGAGACTCGCTTGAGTGATCGTAAAAATTTTAATATTTTTTAAATTACAAACGCCAAATACAATTTTATTGCTAGGTATTATTTTTTGTTAATGTCTTGTATTATTTCATTCCAACTAAAATGAATAATAAGAGCCATTTGCTGGATATTCAAAAATGGGAGTAGATTTTTTTAACAATGCTAGAAAATTTATTAAAGAATTTTGTTAAAAAAAAAAAAGGAAAATTTTGAAAAACATAGTAAATTTAATTTCCTACAAAAAAAGTTTCTTACCATTTTTTTGTATCTTAACAAATCTTAACTAAATTATATTTAGTCCAAAATATTGATCTTAAACTTTTTTAACATGCGCCATAATTAATGACTCTTACAATTGAATTTTAAATTTAAAGTTTACTTGACAAAGATCTCGAAGATTAAAAATTTTTAGGGCTTGTTTAGAATTCAAAATTGAATTGAATTTTATAATAATAAAAAAAAAAATTACTTTGTCTAGGATTCGAACCCTGAACCTCTAAATAGTATATTACGAC